TTTGTATGCCTTCGTTCGTGGTGGATTTTTACTGTGTTTTTTTTTTTTTTTGTGTTTGGTATTATTAATTGTATTTAACATTTATTTTAACAAAAAAAATATATCTTAATTGCTGTCACATGGGTGAACAGCTTTAGCTGGGGAATGACAGCCGCCTGCTGAGGAAGCCAAATGTAAACACAGCAGGCAGTGGCTGGGAGCAATAGCCAACCCGTTATTGGCTATTTCACATTGCAGAAGCCAATAGCAGGCTGGCTATTGCACCCGCCCATTGCCTGCTGTTAATCAATAGGGGAGGTAACTGGAGGAGAAAGCAGTGCATGCCGCAGGCACCGTAGCAAGGAAGAGAGCAGGAGAAGCAGGACTGATGCGGAGGCGAATGGGCTGACAAAAGCCAAGCGCCAAGACGCAATTTATAGTTGCCATGTCAACTGGGATTTCTTGAGCCCTGCCATAATGCATTGCTTCCATCAAGCAATGATAATGTTACATTGTTCAGATGGCAGGCTTTGTAATAGCATTGAAGCAAGTGCATCTCCACAAGAGTGAAATTGTGCCAGTGCATTGAAGTACATCTTATGGAAATCTTCAATAAGTTTACAAACTTCTATCCCACTCCCAATAACTCCTGATTAGGAGTGGGATAGAACTTTATGGAAATTCAAATGCATTATAAAATATGCAGCTGAAACTTACTACAATTTTATTAATTAGTAGGACGGAATGCTGGCAAATGAGCCCTTATATTGAACTGCTCCACGCCAATCTGAAGTAAGTGACGTGGTTTACTCATTCTCTTTGTAATTCATTGGCCTAAGAGGCACACTGTAATCTGCCCAGATAGTTCTTATGAATAGCAGCAGTCTGAAGAAAGGTAAACACACGTTTAACACAGAGTTACCCTAAAATCCTATTAGAATACCAAAGATGTTAAGCTGCAGATAAGGTTATTGACAGGCTAAGTAAGGATGAAATTCAGCTTTCTGCTCTGCAGGGAGCGTGGATTACCATCAATCTTCCACTCCTAGTGTGGCTGCCATAAACAGATCAGGATATGAACACGCTGGTCTCGTTTACCAGGTACACATACCAGGATCATATACAAAGGGCCTACTGCATCATTTTCTCTCCGCAGCTTACACCATCAGCGCTAGGCTTTGGCATAAACTATAATCCCTCATTTTTCAGTGGACTCTTGGAGTGGATTTTTAAGGTTGGAGATACAGTATACATCTATGTGGTCAGACAGGGCTGTACTGTGCTATGTACAGTTCTAATAATGTCAGAATTGATGTGACATCGGCGTGCCACTTCCTGCTTTTCTACAGAGTTCACAGAATGTGGTTAAGCATGGCTGGGCTCTCTTATGGTCGGTACCCGGAGTTCCAGAGGTGGGGGATTTTCATATAGGCTTGGAGTGGCAACATTTATTATTACAGGTATTTATATAGTGCCAACAATTTACGCAGCACTTTACATAGTTGCACATTCACATCAGTCCCTACCCTCAAGGAGCTTACAATCTAAGGTCCCCATCTCACATACATACATACAGGGCCAACTTAAGGTGCCCATACACTGCTCGATTCTCGCGTTGCCTGCGTTCGTGGTGGATTTTTACTGTGTTTTTTTTTTTTTTCGTACGAGAATCGTGGGAAATCCCGCGATCGTACGAGAATCGAGTAGTGTGAACGGAGACGTGCGACCGTTTCTACTGTACGGTCGCATGTCTTCCATCGAACCAGCATGTTCGAAAACCAGCCGGGAATCGTACGATTCTCGGCTGGTTAGAACGGTGCTCGGAAGACAAATGCCGCACGCGCACACTGCCCTGTTCAGCATTTCAGAGAGTGCGATCTCCCTGTCCAAGATAGGCAGATCGTACGTTTTTTTAATCCCTGTACAACCATCGCAAGACTAAGGTCTTGCGATGGTGGTCGAGTGTATGGCCACCTTTAGAGAGAGGAGCCAATTAACCTTCCAGCATGTCTTTGGAGTGTGGGAGGAAACCGGAGTACCGGGAGGAAACCCACGCAAGCACAGGGAGAACATGCAAACTCCTTGCAGATAGTGACCTGGCCGGGATTCAAACCAGGGACCCCCAGTGCTGCAAGGCGGAAGTGCTAACCACTACGCCACTGTGCTGCCCATTTCTCTACATGTCTATAAAAATACCTTTTATCAAAATGAAGAATATAAATGTAAGCAGAGAAAAAAAAATGTGGTTCCTGACCTGAAAGTATTACTTACTTTTGCAGCCCTCACATAACTGCTCCCCCCCCGATCAGCTTGTGCTAATGGTACCCAACAGTGTATGTGAAGATTTCCCATTAAGTCAGTGGGGTGCACACATAGGTCAGCCAGACATAGTAAACGCAAATGGATGGAAGGAATTTGGTAGCTATGCACACCACATCTGTGAATCCTGCAAATCATTTTTGAGAGCTGCCCCCCATTTATGCTTTATCCAAAATGAATGCTTTTCTTTTTGACGGATAACTTCCTTTTTATCAAACACACACAACTGCTGTAAAGACAACATTACACTGCTAGAACTATGTAGCCATCGATGCCATAACTATGCCGTTTCCACCATCATTAAAACATACCACTGCTACTTACTAAGGAAAAGTGCCGGAAGCTGGGGCTAGTGTTGGAGGATTCTTCCAAAATTCTTCTAACAAATTTTGCACTATTTTCCCAAGATCAGAGTGCATAGTAAACTGAAGAAAGAAACACAAAAGAAAATTAGCTACATATTTAAAGTCTTAGAAAAATCGACCTAATGGTAAACATCACCGAAAAAGTATTACCGTATAGATTAAAAGGAAAAGAAATCATGATTTTGTTCGATCATAATAAAATAAATCCAGTAAATATCAAATAATGCAAATTAATATTTAGAGTTTCTTTTTAGCAAGCAGGTGAAGCTTTGGTGTCCTTTCCACATGTCATCAGACAGCTTAAGGGCTTGTTCACACCAAGCGTGGAGCAGATCCGGACCAGAGCAGGTGCAGACCGGATCAAAACTGCGTCCAATGTATTCCTATGGTATTTTGACCTCCAGTTCACATCGCAGCGTGCGGATCCAGACCAGATCCAGACCGGATGAAAAAAATGCGGCAAGCCCTATTTTACCTGCTCTGGATCTTTTTTTTTTTTTTTTTACCAAAACCGGCCCTAAACGCATCCAAAACGCGTCTAAAACGCGGCACAACCCACTACACTGCGTGTGCAGAAACCTGACCGGATCTGGTCTGCATTTGGTGTGAACAAGGCCTAATGGTAGGTTGTAAAATGCTTGTTACTTCAGTTTACATAGAGTGAGAATGATTCACCCATTTCCAAACAGCTTAGCCCAAGGTTTCAATCAAACAGCACAAGGCAGGCTGCTGCGCTCTCTTTGGGTAAACCATAGTGTACTGGGAATCCTTAGTCATGATATAAATATATTCGTAAAATAGTATACAAAATACCATTATAAAAACCAAACATCTGACCTAAAATCATTGCTGTTTTCCTTTAGATGCCCACTAATATGCTGCTACAAAGGGTATTTAAAAGCACTTATTTCAGGCTTAGAGTCCTTACTAGTGCCTAAAGCATTATTCAGCTTTACATGCACACCTAAAACCTAGTGCCTTAGAGATTTAGAGTGCCACAGGAGGCCGGAAGCATCGTGTGGTCATACAGGGGAATACAGAAAGCAAACCAGAGAGGTGCACAGAAGATACCTTCTATCCAAAAAAGGTAAGGCAGACATCTTAGAGTACCCGCTCACAGGCTGAATTTTTATTTTTAAACACTTCTAGTAAAGCACAGGGGTGCCAGTCTCACTGTTGAACAGGAGGCACCCTAGGAAAACAGGTTCAGGAAAAGGAGAACTCCTCCTATAATAAAAGCTTTCATCTTACTAGATCTATGCAGTGGCCCTGCAAGCAAAATCTGAAACAGAATTATGATACAAGACATTGGGAAGATGGTTCTTGTATATGTTTATGCTATGTGATGGGGGCCCACATGGACAATCCGCTCTCACTAGAATGGAAAGCTACACAGTCCATAGGTAAACTAGTACATGGAGGAACATAGAAATAGAATACTGTAATATGTGCCAGGAATGAATATGTAATGGGAAATACTTTCAATATAACGCAGTATTACATATGCTGTTTTGTCACCATTTTACCTATTAAAAGGAATAAGCTAGATGTTACTTCTGCCACTATCCTTGCCACCCTTCTCTGCATGATGCTATGTTAGGTAGTAGCTATGTTTTTACTACTTTGGCAGTTTGCCTTGTTTGCTCATGTGCCTACATTTTATGATCAGATGTTGCTTTCCCTGATGAGCAATGCCTTGGCTATGATGTCGTGTTCCAGTAATCTATGTTAATCAGACTTGGTTAGCATATCATACTCTTCTTACAACTTTTAATTAAACAACATATGGCTGCTCACCGAGTGATGCCATCCTATTATATTTACTAGAACTTACTTGGACTTTCTATTGTGATAAACTATGGATTTCCATCATAAGACATCACTGGGCTATAAACCTCTGGGATGTAATGTATACTTTCCATTTCTACGTATCTCTGTGTAATACCCATAATGCTTTAAAATGGAAATCAAGGTCATATTTGTTTCCATCTATAACAATCCTTACCCTTAAGAAGAACTCTGCGCAAACCAAAAAAAACTTTAAACCCGTGCAGTGGGGCTACCCCCGCAATGCAAGGGGGTACTCACAGTACCCCTCATAGGATGGCGGCTCACAGACAGCTGGAGTGGAGGAGCAGCGAGGCTGAAGGTAGAGGTCTTAGGGCAAACTGGGATTGTGGTTTAGTTGAGTACAACTTTGTTATTTTAGCTCCCTAGACAAATTGAGCACTTAACCCTTGCAGTGCTGGGGTAGTCCACGGCAAGGGTTAAGATTTAATTTGCCCGAAGTTCTACTTTAATTAATGTTCCTTAAGGTCCTCATAGATGGCTCGCATTTTGGCCTATTCAGTAGAAATCGGAGCAGTGGGTGCACCAATCAGATGCAGTCACTGTTCAGCAGTGCCAACGTCAGCTGTGGGTGCCCGTGGCTGCCTGCATACAATAGCTATCTGATTGTGTGAATCGGGCAGTATATGGCGGCCTTTACTCCTTACTTTGTTGCTCTGAAGCCAGCACTCAACAGGGGCTGCTTAACAACCATAATACCTCCCAGAGTCATACCTAATGTGTGTTTTACAGAGCATTTCTCTTCCCAGTGTTATGTGGTTACATCATACCTTGAATCTCTGCAGCAATGTCTCTTTCTAGTTTGCAACTTTGGAAACAGGAAGAATATATAATATTTGCACATACTGGGGTTTCTCTACTTTTTACCCTAACACAAACCATTTCTCTCACAAAAAAAACATACATTGTTTACTAAAGGACATGTGACACTTGTGCCTTGTGTGTCCACTAGATGATGTCTAATTGGAGGAAAGACTGTGATGACGGGTTTCTCTTGAGGAAATTGTGGAGGAAGCAAACTACAAAAAAGGAAAGATAAATGCATTAGAAGATGTATTGCCACAATCACACAATAAGAATACAAATGCAACTGGGAGCAAAGAAAAAGACACATTTCTTTGTCTCCTTGACAAAGAAATAAATACAACATCATCCACATTTACAGAATGGCCCATTGCACAGACAGACATTCTATTAGTAGGCAACATCGGCACTCCAGCTGTGGTGAAAGTACAATTCCCATCATGCCTCTGCCTCCGGCAGTCTTGGCTGAAGCCTTCAGACTCTTGCAATGTCTCATAGTTCCACAACAGTTGGGGTGCCGAGATTACCTACCCTTGACTAATGATATGACTGTTTACACCGGGAAGATATAGCTTGATAGAGGCTGTGCAAACATCCAACCCCCCCTCCAAAACCCATGATCTAATTGACTCAAAGTATCATCTACTGCCAAGTAATGTTGTCCCTCTCTGTGCTGAGCATTTTGGCAGTCACATATACATACCTAACCTGCAGGTTTCCAGCGATGTTCACTGTTTAGCCTATCCAGAGTCACAAAGCTGTTTCAAATCTTCCCAACTATTCAGTGTGCCCCCTGTGCATGCATGGCAAAGACTATCGATTTCAATGGAAGGCCAATCTCCAGGCTATCAGCTTGTCAAAGGACCTTCGACTGAAACGAATGGAGTCTGTGGCAAGCATGCACAGGGGGGACACTGCCCACAGGCAAGATTTCGAAAAGAGGTTGTGAGGCACCAGGCAAGCCAAACAACACGGAGCCCAGAGGGTTTATCCAAGAATATGCAAGCTATAACCAAAGCACTCAGCAAAGGGAGAAAACGTACGGAAGGAGAAAAGCACTAAGGTGCACCTATCCTTTAAAAGAAGGCGTGTGCAACCTCTGGCTCCTGTGGAACTACAAATCCCACGAGGCATTGCAAGACTCTCACAGCCAGACATGACTCCCAGAGACAGAAGCATGATGGTATTTCTAGTTTCACCACAGCTGGGGCACCTCTGCTTTAAATAGAAACTGCCACAGCAAAACCCCTAACTGGGAAACCTGACAGATGGAAGATGCCAACCTGATTCCTGGGCCACATAAAAGTCTCAGGACAGTAAAACTGAAGCTACAGCATCACTGTCATTTATGGGCTTGCCCTAGAACTGATTTGCAACCTTAAAGTCAGCCAATGGCATCCTTAATTCAGTAGGTATCTTGTGATGCAGTCGCTTTGAGGTCAATTATCACATGTAGACTTTTGGCTACCAATTTGCAGTTATACAGATTGACAGATATATTCATCAAATAAGTGCATATCTGGCCCATTGTTTTTTATTTACAGCCTATAAACCAAGATCTGCAGCTGGTAGCTGACAGCATAAGGCATTGGCAACTCACAACTTCTTGGCAGAGATGATCCCCTCCAGAAGCAACCTGCTGAAGTGCATAAGCAATACCAATTTTCCCACAGTTGATATCTCTCTATACACAGATGTGACTCCCTCAATGACATGTCTGGACATTATGATAGATTGCTTAAGACTAGAGAACCTGGACTGGAGGGCTTGGTGTGAACCAGTTTGCCTGAGCCCATTCAAAATTGACATTGCCAAACTCTCCTCTTGGCCCATCCAGTGGTGGCAGGTGCAGGTTGAGGGGGGGTATCCCCTGCCTTTGTGACATAACTGCGGGATGGGAAATGCTTCTCCCCACAACTGATTGAACTGGGAGAAGGGGGTGACAGTTCCAGTCCTGCGCAAGCTTACGCGAACTGGCTTATTACCAAGCCCAGGGACATCATTACTTAGGACCGGAGCATAAAAACATGTCTATACAGTTTCCAGATCACTATCCAGACTTGTTCCCTTCAGCATAAACTAGTCACAAAACGCAGAGGAAACAGTCTAAGTAATACTTACACATTTATGTTGATGGTGACATTTTGTATAGTAATTGGCAATCTATATTCCACATCTTTCTGAATTTCAGTGATACTGTTAAAACAAAATGAAAGAGCATTTAATAAAAAGTGTGCTACTAGAAGGTACAAATGAAAAAAGCGATACAAACAAGAAATATATACAAAAACCATCAACATACAACTCAGGATAAAACGTGATACAAATGTTTGAGCTGAGTGCCAGGGACACATGACAAGCCCTGAATTTCCCACATTAAAGTGGATGTGACCCTCATATATTGTCATATCTTATTAGTATATTCCTCGGTCTTTCTTCTAGTAACTCTTGTACATGCACTGCAATTTTTTTTTAATCAACAGTTAATTTCGGCAGAAAGTACCTGGTGATCCTGCCAGTACCCTTTCCCTCCTGAATCATTCTGATTATCCATTTTCATGCTCTACACATAGGGGTTGGTTTATTAAAGAAAAGCTACAGAACAGAAAATATTCTAAGATCGTTTGTTTTTGCCTTTATTCACACAGAAGGAACATTCACAGATATTCGCCGGGCAAATGGCTCTGCAACTTGTTTAGAAATAGACCCTATAATTTGGGTCTGTGACTCCCCACATCAGAATCCTAAGACAACAGGTACAGCAAAACTTGCCTCAGCAGTTCAACCCACCCTAATCCTCACTACTAAAAGGGCCTGCTCTGCGTTTACATAGAAGGCTGGAAGATTGCACGAGGGGGGGGCCGAGCTCCACAGTGCCTGCAGCTACAAGGGATAGCGAGGGATAGTTTTAACATATATAGGGCCGCAACAACTGATCAACTTAAACCGATTATAATCGATAATGAGAATCATTGACGACGATTCTCATTATCGATTAGTTGAATCCCCCCTAATCCTCCGTTCTCCTCCTCGATGGGAGCCGCTGCATGCTGCGGTCTGTGTCCCCTTCGATCAGAGGGGACATAGCGCTCCAGCCAGCGTCCAGCGGGGAGTAAAGACCGCTGTGCTTCTGCATTCCCCCGCCAAGTCTCCCAATCAGCAGAGAAGGACCTGAAGGAGAACTTTCTCCTTCAGTTCCCTCCTCTGCTGATTGACAGCAGGCAGGTGCAATAGCCAGCCTGCTATTGCAATTTAAAATAGCCAATTGCAGGCTGGCTATTGCACCCAGCCACTGCCTCCTGTATTTACTTTCAGCTGCTTCAGCAGGCAGCGGTCATTGCCCAGTGAATTGGAAAGGTGACACTAGGGGCCGAATATACCCCTAATTCTACCTTAAAGAGAACCTGTCACCTCCATGTCACCTCCAATGTGCCATCACATAGGGGGCTTGCCCCCCCATGTGATAGCAATGAAGTAAAAAATAAAGCGGAATATAAAAAAAAACCAAAAAGTTTAAAGTCCCTGGGATATATATATATTTATAAAAAATTATTTTTTGGCACAATTTAGGGATGTTATTTTAAATAAAAGTTTGGTTATTTTATTATATTGGTTGGAGTTTTACAATTCAAATTATTTTAAATCCATGAAACTAATTAAAATGTCTCACATAATAGATACAATTACTAAATAAAAGTATAAAAACGGTGGGAAGTCATTTTTGGTGTCAACCTGACAAATTCTGCTGCGGGATGTGCGTTGTACTGCCATTCATTCCAATGGCACCCCAAATCCGCCGACAGTGTGACCGCCTGCACTGGAATGTGCGGTACTGCAATGCTGTGTGTTCCAGTGCAGTACGATTGAAACAAATGTGCATGCGGTTTGATTCTGAAGTAAATTTTAAGCTTGTAACACCCCATTTGTGTATTTTATTTTAAGAAAAAGATGGTATTTCATTTTTTTTTTTAACCCATTAAAAAAAAATGATCGGCCAACTAATTGATTATGAAAATATTCATTAGTTGCAGCTCTAAACTTATATTTATACATGTTACATGTGTAAATAATAAAAATGCCCATAGTGGCCACACATTTACTTTAAAGCAAGGGTGGACACATTATTATGGCATTCTAAAGCCGGTCTGTCCGATCCAGGAGCCAGCAGTTTTGGTTTTTGTAGCCAATCCCATTGACAAACAACAAAAAATTTGGGTGCCAGCTGTCATTTTTAAGGAACATTGGCCACCCAGCTCCTGGGATTTGTCCAGCCCCGCTTTAAAAGCCCAACTCCAGAATGAGCAATGATTTTGCTAATTTTTTGTCCTTGGCATCTCCTAAAAATAAAAAAGGCAGCTCTGGCTGCTATATCCATCCAATCTCTGGTGCTGTATCCCACAGACTCACCCGGTCCACAAATCCCAAATGGTGTGAACCTTTTATGTTGCACACCTAATGGGGTCCAACAATCAGTTTCTCACATTCACTTTTCGGTGTCAAAACGGTAGCAAACAACTAGGGATGCACCGATACCACTTTTTTAAGACCGAGTACCGATACTTTTGATCAAGTACTCGCAGATACCAATTACCGATACTTTTTCTTAAAGGGACAGGTCACATTTTTTTCTAAAGCAATACAAACTAATGCTTTAAGGTCACTTTCTTCATATTATGATTCATGAGATGACAAGGGAGCATGACGCCGGCTTCCCGGCCAATCAGAATGTCGGGCGCTGCGTCATTACACGGCACCCGGCTTCCGGATTTGCTAGCTTCCTGACCAATCGGGAAGCCGGGCAGTGCGTCATTGCACGCTACCCGGCTTCCTGATTGGCCAGGAAACGGCTCCGTGCTCTCTCGCCAATCAGGAAACCGGGCAGCGTGTAATGATGTGCTGCCCGGCTTCCTGATACAGGAAGTACTCGTGCTAGGTATCGGAGCATTTGGGCGAGTACTAACCCAAATACTCGGTACCGGCACCGATACTAGTATCGGTATCGGTGCATCCCTACAAACAACCATTGGTACCCCATAAAAATAACAAACTGACACTTGGGGCCATGGATGAAGACATATGAGCAAATATGTACTAGTATGATTGCTTATTTCACACATTGCTTTAGTTTCTTGAATAACAATGTGCTGATGCCATTTAGCCAGAAACCATTTTCAGTGGCACAGACGTTCACCAGGCAGCTTTCTAGTTTTTTTATTAAACAGCTATTCCTGCTTGGCTATAACAAACAGCAGTAGTGAATACAAATGTAGAAAAAGTCACAGAGTTAGCAACCTAACAATAAATCACAATACACTGTACCTATAAAAGGCTGCTGGGGTATTACCCATAGGAACCATTACCATGTTTTTATTTCATCACTTGTACTGGAAAATACAAAGGGGTACATGCTTGCTTGCCAAGATAAAGTAGTATATTCTTTATAAATGATACTCAATCACTAACTCCGGAAACACACAAAATTTCAACAAACTTGAGAGAACATTTTGACATCAACAAAAAGTGTAATAGAAGAAAAAGGAATGTTGTGGAGTCAGTCTGCAGTCAGCTGACGTGAAAGTAGCAAGTACGGCCATGCTATGGCTCATGTAACAATGACTAATGTGTCACATGAAGGACTGACGATCTGTTCCAGCAATTACTGCAATCCATATTAAAAAAAATAAAGCAACCTTACAAAATAGGTTTTGGCAATGTTTAAACAAAAAGCACATTATACCTCCCCATTTGACAGAGAAAAAAATAATAGATCATACTATCACTAACGGAACATTTTGCTCCGGTTTTCATTTGTTCCATAGATATCAGGAAATGTATTATCACAAATCTAACCAAACACTAGTAATAAAGTACAAAGGTTAGTAAGGGAATACAACTTCTACTTCATATATTCAGATCACAGGTAGAGGAAATAATTTAGATGGTAAGCTCTCAGGAGCAGGGCGCTCCTAACCCTCCAGACTTATAATGTACCGTCTCCCTTTATTTTGTATAGCGTTGTGCTAACTATTGCCACTATATCAATCCTAAATAATAATAATGTTGCCATAGGTTACCGTACTCTGATTTTTGTCTTACTAAATAAACCTATAAGCTAATCAAACACCAAGAAAAGCCCCCTAAGATAATGAATACTACTATCCTTATATACCACACCAAGGAGGGGGCGCTATCCTTACACCACACCAAGGAGGGGGCGCTATCCTTACACCACACCAAGGAGGGGGCGCTATCCTTACACCACACCAAGGAGGGGGCGCTATCCTTACACCACACCAAGGAGGGGGCACTATCCTTACACCACACCAAGGAGGGGGCACTATCCTTACACCACACCAAGGAGGGGGCGCTATCCTCACACCACACCAAGGAGGGGGCGCTATCCTCACACCACACCAAGGAGGGGGCGCTATCCTCACACCACACCAAGGAAGGGGCACTATTCCTCCCACTGACACCAAGGAAGGGGCACTATTCCTCCCACTGACACCAAGGAAGGGGCACTATTCCTCCCACTGACACCAAGGAAGGGGCACTATTCCTCCCACTGACACCAAGGAAGGGGCACTATTCCTCCCACTGACACCAAGGAAGGGGCACTATTCCTCCCACTGACACCAAGGAAGGGGCTCTATTCCTCTCACTGACACCAAGGAAGGGGCTCTATTCCCCCTCCCACTAACCACAGGCACGAGGTAATTTTATTCGCACCCACTGCTCACCAACCCTGGAGCATTGATTATTCCCACTGACACCGGGGCACTTTCTACTCCTATAGTCCGGCCCACCTAAGGTCTGAAGGACTGTGAACTGGCCCCTTGTACTAATGCATCAGAACTACATGTCCCATGATTCTGTGTGCACTGCTTATAATGTACAGTGACAACGATGGGGCTTGTCTACCTCCATCTCGCAGCCGGAAGACAGCCCCACAGACATTAATGGGGATGTAGTGCACAGGTGCGGCCATGAGAGGGAGATGATCACAGCAGGATGTAAACAATGGAGGCCGGGCCCATCAGAATTTCATTTCTCTTTGCACAGAGAGGGAGCGTTCAATTAGGCCAAAAGGATGAGTGCAAGTTGTATTAAAGTGAACTTATCCTTTAAATTCCACGTGTAAACAATGAAAGCGGATTGGTTGCTATAGACTACCACATCAGTCTCAGACACTTTCTATGAATCCCCCCCCACAGTGTGAATGGCACCATTAGAAATGTCCTCTAAACACATAGTTGTCAGCGTACAGAAATGGTGGAGTGCTCGGCCATGGTGATTGGTCTTTGCGGACATGTTGGAGATCATTGTCTTCTGGGGTCCCAGTACAGTAATGATTCTCTGATTTGGGACCTCAGATCAATATTTCAGAAGCCCGGCTCTAAAATATCAGTCTATCCAAAACTTGTGTTTTAGTTTTTGGTGTCATATGCATTACAAACCAGCATGTCAGGAAGATCTCTGCGCTCCATCAGCCAGGGCCACTGTCAGCAGGGTTTTGTTTTAGCCCTGATATAAAGACTGCAGCAGAAGGAGTGAGACTTATCTTATTGCAGATCTAAGAAGCTCCTGGTTGCCTATAGCTAGCACCCCCCTGTCCTGGAGAATGGTGTGAGTAGCGTCAGGGCTCTCACCTGCTATGACAAGCCTTCAGAGAGTCGATCTGGCGCTGTCTCTGCTGCTGCAGGCTGTTGAGGGGTGGCAGAGGTCTGGAGCCTTTAGATGACGAGAAGAACCAGCTCATGGTGCGGCTAATCTGGACTCAGCAGGAGGAGGCGGCGGCTACTGCTGTTGTTGTGGTCAGGTGAGCCAGGAGGCGGACAAGGATGATCCGCTCAGCAGGATCAGAGGAGGATGTCCCCGAGGTCCGGCGGGGTCACTGGGAGTCATGAGCAGCCCAGCACAGAGCACTGTCACTCTGCATGTTATGATCACACTGCCAGCCCTCGATAAGTCGCCGTTCTCATCAGACCGCACCGCGTGACTACTCTACCTCTTTCCCAGTGACGCCACTCCCCTCCCGCCGGCCTCTCTACGTCATCGCCGTGCGCTCGGGCGGCGGAGGAGGAGGTGTGTGTCAGTGTAGAATGCGGCGGCTGGATGTCGCGCTGGTGACGTACAAGCCCCTTCTAACCCACCAGTGACCTCATCGAGACGGGCCGTGACGCGGTGGAGACATATTTTTGGATG